TTTTAAAGGTTTGTTGTTTTCATTTGTTTAGAACTGAATGGCCGTCCCAAGTGCATGCGCTAGATAGAAGGGAATAGACGAGAGTCAGACTTTGAGAGGACAAATGAATGTGGGGGAGGGATGGACTGGGACCCCACACCCACTGGCTGTGGTCCTAATGCTCGCCAGCATTATCTGCCACCCCCGGTCAGTTTCCCTAAAGAGGTGGCACAGACATTTTCCCCAATTAACAAATATAAATAAATAACAAAGCTCCTATTTGTACAGGGCTAAACACTAGTACGCCAAGCGATTGTTTGGTCTCCCAACGGGATAGCTGTGCCCTGCGATTCATTTGTATGTGCAACAAATATCTGCCACCGGGCTTTTGTCATGCATTAATTACATTTTGGGAGGCTCCAACAATTTGAGTCTTGGCTCCATAGGGTTGCTAGTTCCCCCCCCCCCGGCCACTGGCAGGGGGCGGGGGGGGGGGGGAGGGTTGTTAGATCCAGGTTGGGAAACTCCTGGAAATCTGGGGGCAGAACCTGGGGAGGACAGGGACCAAGAGTAGATTCAGTATAAGGCAGCTTCATGTCTTCATGTGACCTCAGTGCACCCCCGTAGCTAGGGATTTTTTTGGGAGGGGGCCTCAGGTGGGGCGCCAGCTAATTAAATCAAAGCACAATGCAGACGGCAAGTTGGGGCACTTTGGGGGCGGCCCGGGAAGGAGGGGCCCCAGAAAAAAGACTAGGGGGTAGCTACGGGCCAGCCTCAGTGAGGTACAAGGCCATAGAGTCCACCCTCCAAAGCATCCCTTTTCTCCAGGGGAACTGATCTCTGTCATCTAGAGATGAGCTGTAATTCCAGGGGGTCTCCAGGTCCCACCTGGAGACTGGCATCCCTACACCTCAGACAGTTTCCCTAAAGAGGCGGCAGAGACATTTCTCCAAATAAATAAATATAAATGCATGAGAAAGCTCCTGTTAGCAGAGGGCCAAATGCCGGTACACAGAGCGAATATTTAGTCACCGAATGGAATAGCTGTACCCTGCAATTCATTTGTATGTGTAACAAACTCCAGGCTTTTGTTATGCATTAATTACATTTTGGAAGGCTCAAACAGTTTGATTCTTTGCTCTGGGAGGCTCACGTGGACAGCATTTGAGAAGCTGGGGGCATTGGCTCTGACTGGCTCTGATAAGGATGTGGTGTAAAGTGGCTGTTGAGGGGAATTCTGGGGGAATCTTGTGGGGGGGCCCCCGGGGGTGTGTGTTGCAAATTCAAAGGATGTTTCTCATTTAGAGCTGGTGATGGTTTACTTTGTGCTGTTTTTCTGTACCGTGGCAGATTGTCCTGCTGGAATGCCATGCTCCCTCTAAGCTGTGGAGTCTTGTGAGCAAAAACCCTACTTTGTGAGTGACTGGCATGAAGGTTGTGAGCGAGGCATTCAGCTGCTGCATCAATTAGTTTGCTCTGGAGCCATCCCTTCCGGAGCTAAGGCAAAAAAATGCGTGAGCCGGAGGCTAAAAAACTGTGAGCTGGCTCACACTAACTCGGCTTAGAGGGAACACTGCTGGAATGACCACTGTACACAGTTGTGTACCCGCTGGGTCTGCTTGGAAACAGCATTATTTCCCTCTCTAAATGGGTAAGTGTGCCTTTGTCATGGCCCTGTCCTTAAAATACTGGAAGAAGGTAAAGGTGCAGTACAAAGCTCCACTCCCCCCCTCCATTGTCTACCAGACAATGGATAACCCTTCTCCAAGCTTTTCCTAGCTCCTGCAGAGGTGAGCCAGCTGCCGTCTCACTGCAGTGAGCACACACGGTAGCGTCAACGGGAGGCAGTTCACAACGGTCGGATTTGTTTCCTGAGAACAGAGAAAGAGCTGCCGCTGAGCTGAAGTTTTCCCTTGGTCTTCTCAGCGGAACTTTATGCACAACGGCCATCTTTTGCCGGGCAGTTTGTGCTTTTGCTCTCCAGACCGAGAGAACTTCCTTAAAGAAAGATTTAGACCTAACTTTATTGAACGGGTGGAAGGCGGCTTGGTAGAGCTCAGTCTCAGCAGATCGTGGAAGCTGAGCAGGGTCGGTGCTTGTATGGGAGCCCACCAAGGAAGGCTCTGCAGAGGAAGGCAATGGAGACCCCCCTCTACTTCTCACTAGCCCTGAACACCCCTTGCTGGGTTTGCTGTGAGTTGGTTTGTGACATGAAAAATGCTGATTGCCACTTCAGGGTCAGAAAGAGATTTTTTTCCAGGCCAGTTTGGCCAGGGATCCTGGAGGGTTTTTTTTTTGCCATCTTCTGTCCGTGGAACAGTGGTCACTGCGGGCATGGAGGGGGGAGGCATTTGTGAATTTCCTGCACTGTGCAGGGGGTTGGACTAGATGACCCTGGAGGTCCCTTCCAACTCTATGATTTCTATGATTCTATGATGGCACTTACGTGTATATATACTATTTAACGAAGCTAACTGTCTGCATAGCAATCTAAGCACCCTAGATTGCCAAATATATGAGTAAGCTGAGAAATGCCCATTACATTTCAGTTCAGGAGTATTCTTCAAAAACAGACCACCCCATTGTTCCCTCGTGCTATTTGCCCAGCCTCTTCAGCTATGGAAACAAGCCAATGTTTAAACGTATGTAAGAGACAAATTGCTTGCTAGTTTTGGGACAACGGTGGGTCTTCTTTGAGAGGAAGACTCCACGGGTTGGAGGAAGGCTCCACACGTGGCCGTGCAGAGTGATAAGAGACAGGCTGGCGCCTCCATCAACGGCATAGTTTAAAGATGCTGCCCCTCACCCTGTGAGCGGCATCATGGTAGAAACAAAATCTGATGCATCGGACTTCCATGGCGTTAGAGTGGGTGGGATAACTGTAAAAAGACAAAACAGTAAAAAGCCCGGTATCACCTTTAAGACTAACAAACTTTATTGTAGCATAAGCTTTCGAGAAACACAGCTCTCTTCGTCAGACGCGTCTGATGAAGAGAGCTGTGTTTCTCGAAAGCTTGTGCTACAATAAAGTTTGTTAGTCTTAAAGGTGATACAGGGCTTTTTACAGTTTTGCAGGAACAGACGTAACATGGCTGACTCTTCTGGTTCTATAAAAACACAGCAACTCGTTTAACGGGGTAGCCCTTTGCCTCGTAAAACGCACGCCTATCCAGCAGCTAAAATTCAGGACGTGGGCCCAGAAGACCAAACTTTCATTTCCCGTTCACTCAAACACCCACTGGCCTTCAGCTCTGAAAAGTAAATGGTAAATAACCTGCTGTACCTATTGAAAGATCAAGATGGAATCTGTAGCAGTAGGAAAGAGCAAGAGTCCGGGAGCACCTTCAAGACTAACAAAATACGTGGCAGGGGGAGGAGCTCTTGTGAGTCATTGAAGAAGTGAGCAGTGACTAGGGTTCCCAGGTCTGGGTCGGAAAATACCTGGAGACTTTGGGGGTGGAGCCAGGAGAGGGCGGGGTTTGGGAGAGGGGAGGGGCCTCAGCATGGTACCATGCCGTAGAGTCCACCCTCCAAAGCAGCCATTTTCTCCAAGGGAAGCTGATCTCCGTCAGCTGGAGATCAGTTGTAAAAGCGGGAGATCTCCAGGCCCCACCTGGAGGCTGGCAACCCTAGCAGCGACTCATGAAAGCGCCTGCCCTGCCACGTATTTTCGTTAGTCTTGAAGGTGCTCCTGGACTCTTGCTCTTTTCTGTCACCTATTGAAAGTAATAATAGATCTGCCTTTTCTAGTGCCCGGATGCCTCTGTGTGAGTGTTTAATAATGCAATAGCGAACACGTGGCTGGTTTCATTAAAGTAACGGCCGCTCCATGCCAAAGAACAGCTAGATCTGAGCCTTGGAACCCCGTAGAGACCAACAAGATTTCCTTAGCATAAGCTTTTGAGGGTGTGACACAGGGAGCTGTGACTTTCGATAGTTCATACCCCAGAATATCTTGTCAGTCTCCAAGGCGCTACTGGATTCGAATCTAGCCGTTCTACTGCAGACCGACTCAGCGACACTCTGAAACTATCTCCCTGCCAAAGAAGGTTAAAGCGCTTGGGGCTCTTTAGCTTGGAGAAACGACGGCAGAGGGGCGACATGATCGAGGTTTACAAGATTAGTCATGGGATACAGCCGGTAGAGAAAGAAGTCCCTTTCTCAGAATACAAGAACTCGTGGGCACTCCATGAAATTGCTGAGCGGTCGGGTTAGAATCGATAAAAGGAAGTCCTTCTTCACCCAAAGAGTGATTAACACTTGGAATTCACTGCCACAGGAGGTGGCGGCGGCTACAAGCATGGACGGCTTCAAAAGGGAATTGGACAAATGTATGGAGCAGAGGTCCATAAGTGGCTATTAGCCACAAGGTATCGATAGGAAATCTCGGTCTGGGGCAAGGGATGCTCTGTATTCTTGGTGCTTGGGGGTGGCAACAGTGGGAGGGCTTCTTGTGTCCTGGCCCCACTGGTGGACCTCCTGATGGCACCTGGTATTTCTGGCCACTGTGTGACACAGAGGGTTGGACTGGATGGGCCATTGGCCCGATCCAACATTGGCTTCTCTTATGTTCTTAAGTTTTATTCAAGGTATGAGCTTTCGTGTGCAGGCACACTTTTTCAAATATTTGAAATATTTGAATATCCCAGTGTCTTTGACAAAGTGGGACTGCACATGAAAGCTCATACCTTGAATAAAACTTTGTTCGTCTTAAAGGTGCCACTGGAGTCTACATTGGTGCTACCGCTTCAGACCAGCACGGCCGACCACCTGGGTCTATCTCCATGCCAGAGGTCATAATTCCCATTAGACTCCCCCTCCCCCCACATCAAGCATCTTTTATGATATTCACAATGAGAAAGTAAATAACTGGGTGCGTGAAGAGTTCGGGACTCATAGTCTGCAGAGCTGATGGATTTATACCTCCCTTGGGGGCCTCAGAAGTTTTAGTTTCAACTTTCACCTGTGTTGGTGTGGTGTTAACGAAGGTGCACATGCAGTTTGGCAAGAGTCATACTCACCATAGAGTATGGTCAGCATGGACACAGGCATGACGAGGAAACCCAAGAGCATGTCCGCTATGGCGAGGGACATCAGGAAGTAGTTCATCGCACTCTGCAGCTTTTTCTCGAGCGATACAGCCAGGATGACGAGGATATTCCCTGCAATAGTCACCACGATCACGACGACCGTCAGCAGGGCAGGCCAGTTCTTCTCCTGTATGCCGAGGAAGGACGCGTTGCACGGTAGAAAGAGCGCAAGAGCGGGTGGTCGCCGCCACAAAGTCCGAAGTCAGATTGCACATGGCCGATGGATTGACCTCTCCAGACAGAACGTTGCGGTAGAGTTTCCTCTCTCGGTTGAGTTGCAGTAAGAAACTGGCTGTGGAGTTCACAGAACTCTCCTCTTCGTACACCACATCCATGTCCGAGACGTCTGAGACCAGTGACGACGGACCACAAGAACGCCCACAGTCAGTGTTTCTTTGCATCCATTTCTGTCTCCCTCATCAGTGCAAAGTTGGTCGCCTTATCAGGGCAGTGCAGAAGGAACAGATGGGTTTGTGCCGAATGCGAAGAACTCATTTTTAATCCCAGGCGTTCTCCGATGTCAGTGCACACTTGGAAACCCTTTGAAAGGCAGCATTCCACTGCAGGATGAGAAAGGTTGTCTTGAGGCTTTGAGAAGGAGGGTGGGGGGAAATACAGGGGGCAAGCAGGCCATTTCCTCTCCCCTCTCCCACTCTTTTCGGCCATAAGAACCCCTTTTCTCAATGACATCTTATGATGACTGGCGTTCCGGCAGTTTGAAAGAGCATGTGTGCCGCTAAACCGGCTTGCCCCGCAAAGTGACGCATCTCTCCTCGTTCGGAAGGAAGACTCTTGATTCAAGGCAACAACCCAAGTCATTAAAAAAGAAAATTTCTCCTATTTAGAGTACATCTTTGACACCACAGTCAATTATCAGCCTTGTCATATTTTAGCAACAGTTCTAAAGTGTGACACCGGGCACGGCGAGTCACACTGCACACAGACTGCAACAATTAACTGTCCCGATGCTTCCGGAGCGTCGGGGGGAAAAAAAATCAAACTGCCACTGTTTTGTTTTGTTTTTAGCATGCGACACGAGAGAGAGAGAGAGAGAGAGAGAGAGACTTACGTTGTTCTTGAGACCCCCACGGATCAGGTTCACACGGTGCCTCGATTGTATCCTCCGGTGTGCTCCCTTCGCCTCTCTCTTTCCAGTTTGCACTGAAGGACTGCCTTTTTTGGCTGGCAGTTGGGTTGACTTCTGAACTCCCAGTGACAGCAGAGAGAGAAAGAGAGAGACTCCCTCCTTATCCTTTGCTCCTGACAGGCAGGCTGCCCTGCTGACACTTCCCCCTGACACCCTCTCTCTTTCCCCCCCTTGAGGCAAGCCACGGAAGAAGAAGAAGACGGATGGCAGAGCTCATTCGAAGGGACAACCGAAAGCGCCGGTTTAAAGAAATGCCCTGACAAAAACCCAGAAGGAAGAGTCTCCGTCACAGAGGTTCGCCAGAGGTTCCGAGCGGCGGTGTCATGTCTCGCTCATGGATTCCCCCCCACCCTTCCGTCCGTTCAGACCTCCCACTGTTGATATGACACAAACAGCAAAGGTAAAGGAGGGCAGACCCAAGAGAGCGGGGCTTTTGTTTCTCTCTGCGGCCACTGCCCGGGGGTCAGAGTTTCCAAAGAGGAGATCGTCCGGCAGGGCAGATGAGGTCCTGCAGAGCCGCTCTCCGGAGTTGCAAGGCGCTCCCCAGCGAAAGGGAGAGAGAGAGAGAGAGATGAGAGAGGCAGGGAAGCCGGCTCCGAATGGTACGTGCCAGGCAAACTGCGAGCAGGCAGACGACTCCATCTAGGGTGGCTGCGCTTGCCGGCAAGTGACTCCTTTAGGGGGCAGACTGGGTGCCTCCGGACAGTTTCTGTGTCCTAAAAGGGAACCAACCCTGGCTGTAGGTTTCCAGCTGAGGCGAAGGGGGTGTTGCCATTCCCCCGGACTCACCTGGTAGAAAGGACTCTGGAAGCAAGGACAGAGGTTTTTGTTTGGTTTTTTTTGCCTTCTGCTTCTGGCTCAGGGAGTCTCTAGGACTTCAAGGAGGGACAGCTGTTCTGCCAGAGGTTGCTTTGCCTGCCACTGCGTCACAAGGGTTACGATGGGGGATCTAGAGACCACATTGCTCCCCATTCGAATGCTGCGTTTCCCCAGATTTCGGGCGGGACCAGCAATTTTTGGCCTCGAGTGGGACTGCGTACTACCCAGCCCGGCCTGTGCGAAAGGCTCGGGGCGCATCCGGCAGGGGGCGTGGTCCGGGGAGACAAGGACTGAAACGAGGTCCCTGTAGTGTGGTTCTTTCTGGCGCTCGTTTAACAGAGGAAACACGGTCCAAAAGTCTTTAATTAAAACGCTGATTATAGAAAGGGAGAGGGGCACGAGACCATAACTTTTCGTTGCGTTTTGCTTGCAAAGGGGTTTTTTTTAGGAGCGCGCAAGAGAGTTGCCGATAGTTTGGAAAAGAAGCCACAAAGACGAAGTGCTTTATTATGTAGTTGATGTGTTTATAACCGGCTGCCCAAATTGTTCACAATTATGAATTTTGAGTTCAAGAGAAACACTGACATGTTTGCTTGGTGTTGTGGTTTAGAGTGGTGATTCCCCACTCCTCCACATGCAGCCAGCTGGGTGACCTTGGGTCAGTCACAAGTTCTCTCGGAGCTGTTCTCTCAAGAGCAGCTCTGGAAAGAGCTCTTTCAGCCCCACCTACCTCACAGGGTGTCTGTGGGGAGAGGAAGGGAAAGGAGATTGTAAGCCGCTCTGATACTCCAAGTGCAGGGCGGGGTATAAATCCAACTCCAGCTCCTCTTCCTCCTTCTAATTAAATTAATGGAGTGGGGAAGGGAGATGGCATGGGGGAGAAGAAGAGGAGTAGTACCTCCTTACCCTGGCAGGCTTCCACTGCGCCTGCATTGCTAGCATCATGTGACCCATCATGTACCCTGGGTCACATGATGTTACTAGCAGCGAGATCCTCAGGTGCAGTGGAGGGGATGCTTAAGCCGCAATGTGCTGGTGCACCAGCTCAAAGCAATTCTGTAACCCGGGATCTATTCCTTCCTCTCACCCCTCGCTGGCTGTTCCTGCTGCTTCCACCTGCTGCCGGGGTAAGGGGTGAGCGGAAAGAAGGAGGGTGACAGAAACTGCTTCGGGGCAGTGTGGCCGCACGACTTGGCTTAAGGAAAACTGTAACTGAAAAGACTGGGGAAGATTGGGTGGGGGGCATGCAGATTCTATAGGGGGCACCTCCCCCAGCGCCCCACCACTGGTTACGGGCGTGACATGGACTAGTTAAGTGGAACTTACAGGTCTAGAGCATCTGGCCCAGCCTCAGTGGGAAGCTGCCTGCTGGGAGCATGGCGTGCATCGTGCACACACACCAGACAAGCAACAAGCAACATTTCACCTTCCACATTCTCTAGCAGGTGGATACTGACCACTCTGCCCTCTCTTTGGGCTTTTCCACATCCCTTATTTTCCTTCATCACAGTAACTGTGTGTTCCTGTTGCTTTGGGGTCCCCCCTCCCATTCCACCTGTGTTTTGCTCCCTCTAGCAGTCAATCCGATGTTACACCGCTTTATGTCTGGCATATCTCCCTGCAGATTTTAAGTGCAGGTTTTTACGCTGGACATAAAGTGATGTCATATCGAATTGACCGCTAGAGGGAGAAAAGCACACGAGGAACAGGGGGAAAAACACCCTGAAGCAACAAAAGCACACAAGTGAGGGCATATCTCCCTGCAGATTTTAAGTGCAGGTTTTTACGCTGGACATAAAGTGATGTCATATCGAATTGACCGCTAGAGGGAGAAAAGCATATGAGGAACAGGGGGAAAAACACCCTGAAGCAACAAAGGCACACAAGTGAGGAAGAGAAGGCGGAAAAGCTATGTCTTTTTCTCTCCTGCACTCTTTGCACAGGAAAGGAGAGCTCCTTTTCAACCCCCCCTTCTTCCATGTGAGCTAAGAAGACACTAACCAATCTGGACGCTACGTAGGAAAACCTAAGCCCGCCAGAACCAGGTCACTCCAACAGAGAAGTGTTTTTAAAAAATCAAAATAGATGGCATATTTGCTCTCTGGATTGTAAAACAAATTCTATCTGGTGAGGTGGAGCTGTTCCCAGTCTTGGCCAGGATTTGGGACTGCATCTTTCCAAGGCTTGGCCAGGATTTGGGACCATGCCTTTCACAACTGTCAAGCTCTATCTGCCCATCTGCCTCTCATCGGTAATAAGGAGTACTTAAAATACTGAAATATTAAAAACACTCCTGGTGCTCCAAGAGGCACTCAGGCACACTGTATTATCAGCCAAGGGACTCCCGCTTGCACGGAACATGGTCCCCGTTTATCCAGCTACCTTTAAGGGCTGATTTTGTGATGTATGAAAGTAGAGCAGATGAATGTATAACTAAGGGAAAAGATGCAAAGTCCCGTTTTTCATGGCCATTACTGTAATGAAGGTGAACAGAAAAACTAAGGTCAATAATATGTTGTGTTCTGGCTCCTGACTGTCTACTTGCATGATCTTGAGGTTCAGAGAATTCAAGCAGAGTTAAGACTCAGAGGAATGAATAAAGAGTCAGGAGATAATGATACTGACAGGGAACTTCTCCGCTCATCACAGTCAAACACATCTTGCATCAGAAGACTGAGCATGCTCAGGCTCTTTCTGGTGCTTTGCTGATTATCTACCCGAGAAACCACCATGTAAGTGATTTGTGTGATAGGAAGTGTGATTGAGTTGCTGTTTCTGCCTGGGTGCGAGTGTGTTGCCGTTTCGATAGCATATGAAATTCCCCCAGAGTCTCTTTCCCATATGCCTTAGTTTTAATGCAAGTGATCCTATTAATTCTGTATCTGTTCATTTGGTAGCATCGTTGGGTTGGACCCAGCATCCATCAGTGAAGGCACTGGCAGATGTGGATTTCCCCCCTCCTCTCATCAGTCTCTTCCAACTCCAGGGATGTTGATTCTCAGGGTTGCGGGGCCTGTGTGGACTTACAGTCGTGTGGGCTGAGTTGAGCAGCTTCAGTGAGGAGGGGAAAGGGATAAAATCGCCAGTTCCCTTTTCCATCACTGGAGCTGCACTTGTTGAAGAAGGCTGAAGGGGTGATGCTATCCCCTTTCCTTCTCTTCATTGCAGGCCCCCCCCCCCCACTTTTAGGACGTTAGTCCACATGGATCCTACGAGCCTGGGAATCAACTTTCAGGGAATCGCAAGGGTCTGCTGGGGAGGGGCAGGAGAATGCAGCATAAATCTGTGCTTCTTGCATGGGCAGGCTGCTGGATCCAGCCCGACTGTCTTGTGTGTCTCACTCTGATTCTTTACAATGTGTACAACTGC